AATCGGCTTGGCATGGTGACTTACGCCTGTAATTCCAGCACTTTGGGAGACTGAGGCGGGCGGATCACCTGAGGTCAAGAGTTCAAGACCAGCCTGGCCAACATGATAAAACCCCATCTCTACTAAAAATAAAAAAAAATTAGTCGGACATGGTGGTCCTGTAGTCTCAGCTACTCATGAGACTGAGGCAGGAGAATCACTTGAACCTGGTAGGCAGAGGTTACAGTGAGCCGAGATCGCACCATTGCACTCCAGCCTGGGGAACAAAAGTGAAACTCCATCTCAAAAAAAAAAAAAAAAAAAGGTAATTTAATTGATTGAAAAGAGGCAAGAAGGAGAAAAAAAAAAAAAAAAAAAAAAAAACAGAAAAGCCTGAAAAAATAGAAAGTTAAAAAACTGATGACAGTAGTAAATATAAATATATCAGTGAAATAAACCCAGTTGAAAGGGAAGTTGTGAGATTGGATTAAAAACATCTATTAGATAAAAAACAAAATCTGTGTTTATGCTTTTTATAAGAGACATATCTAAGACATTAAGAAAGAATAGTTGAAAGTAAAAGAATAGAAAAATATGTTTCAGGCAAATATTAAGCAAAAAGAGCTGGAATATCTATATATGTAAAATAGATTTTAGAGCAAGAAAAAAACCTTACAACAAACAAAAGAGATCATTTAATAATGATAAGAGGTTTAATTCACCAGGTGGAAAAAATTCTAAAATTTAAAACTTGATAATATAGCTTCAGTAAAATAAAGGGAAATCTGACATATTTACAAAGAGATACTCGAATTCTCTACTATTGTGAGTCATTAAATATAGCTATCTCAATAATTGATAGATAAAATGAACCAAAAAGCATTAAGGGTATGATTAATTTGAAAAATACAGAAAGCTTAACCTACTGAACATATAGATTTCTGCACTCCAAATTAAGGTATACAAATTGGTTTTGGTTATGCAAGAAATACTACAATAATTGGTTATGAATTAGGCCATAAATGAAGTCTCAACCAATTTTAAGAAACTGATCTTAAACACGTTGTATTTTTTAAATCACAATTCAGTTAATAAAGATATCTTTAGCTAAAAAACAATGTCTTAAAAATTTAGAAAATTGGAAAACACTTTTGAATAACTCATCAATCAAGGAGTATATCATAATGCAAAATAGAAAGTGCTTAGGATTGAACAATGATAAAATCCAAAAACTTTACTAACTTCACTAAAACAAATGGTTAAAAGGGACTTAAAGGAAATTTTAAGTCATAAATGCTTATATTAGAAACTGAGAAAGGCTGAATATTGCTGAGCTAAGCATCCATGAGAAATTATTTTAAAAATAGAACTAATTTAAAGAGAGCAGAAGAAAGAAAATAATAAAGATAAGCCTGGAAATTAATGTTATAGAAAACACGAATAAAATAGAAAAGATCAACAATGCCAAAATTAAGGTTTTCAAAGAAGTGAGTGAAATTGACAAATTGGTCTGGCCTGGTTGAACTAAAAGAAAGAAGAAAAAAGGAGGAGGAGGAAGAAGAAGACAAAGATGACAACAAAAATGTTAGGAATTTAAAAAATTCAGAGATTAAGAAAATGGTAAACTAGTACAAACAACTTGGTGTCACGTTTGAAAATTTAGAAAAAATGGTCAAATTATTAGAAAAAACGTAACGTACCAAACAAACTCAGGAAGAAATAGCAATTCTGAGTCATTGTAAGGCCCTTGAAGAAATTGGTTCACCAATTAAAAAATCTTACACAAAGACCTGGCCCAGATGACTTTATAGGTGAATATTAATAAACACCTTAAAAACAAGTAAGGCACACTTCAAAAACTTGAAATAAGGAAAAACACCCCAATAAAACATATGCTGGCCTCATTCCATGCAAAAATATGTATTTTATATAGTAAAACAAATCAGGATAATACAAGAGAGGAAAAATGACAAACCAACTTCACTCATGAGTGTACGACAAAACTCTGCAAAGAAGTATAAAAATGTAATCCAGCAATGCACAGAAGATAGCATATTATGATTAAATACATTTAAAGAATGCATTTAAATACATTATTTAAGCAGATATTTACTTTCAAACACAGGATGGTCTAACTTTATAAAATCAAATAAATACAATTCACTAAATTACAGATCAATAGAGAATAAACACATGCTATTATGAATGGTTGCAGATAAATTATTCCATACAATTTATTTTTTATCCATGTTTAAACAAGCAAGCAAGCAAAAACTCTTAGGCACCTATGTAAATTAAAAGAAGGATAAACACACAATTTAGCAGGGTCGTTTGCCTTTAGTGGAGGAGACAGGCTATACAGTTTGGTGTGGGGCACACATAGGAAATTTCTGTGACATTGCCATTTGCTTACCACACAAGGCTCTTCATGTTCTGGCCCCTCACCATCCCTCTATTGTCACATCCATCCAAACCTCTAAACCCATTATTTATTTCCATCTGTATGAATCTTCCAAAACCACGCATAATGGCACTTCACACCTCCGTGCCTTAGTACACGTTGCTTTCTCTTGGCCAGAAATACTCTTCCTCCCTTCTCCATTTAGCTAATTCCTACTCATCCTTCAAATTCTGGAACTTCGGCCAGGTGCGGTGGCTCAAGCTTGTAATCCCAGCACTTTGGGAGGCCAAGGTGGGTGAATCACGAGGTCAAGAGATCAAGACCATCCTGGTTAACATGGTGAAACCCCGTCTCTACTAAAAATACCAAAAATTAGCTGGGCATGGTGGCGCCTGCCTGTAATCCCAGCTACTCAGGAGGCTGAGGCAGGAGAATTGCCTGAACCCAGGAGGTGGAGGTTGCGGTGAACCGAGATCGCTCCATTGCGCTCCAGCCTGGGTAACAAGAGTGAAACTCCATCTCAAAAAAAAAAAAATTCTGGAACTTCATTTTATACCTTCCCTCAATATTGATTTATAATCCTTTCCTTCCTCTGTAACATTCCATCCTTTCTTATGTCATGGCACTGATTGCACTACACTAAAACCTTCAGTTGGGTCTCATCCTCTAGTAGTCTTTCACAGTAGTAATGTGTTACTTATTGAGCATTCTAGGCAATTTACTTACATTATTTCTAATCCCCAACATAACTGTCGAAGGTACCTATCTTCAGCTACAATTTAAAATTGAGGAAACTGAGGCTGAGAGAGAGGGAGGCCATAAGTCCATGGTCCTATAATTATAATGGAAGCATCACACTCACATCTGGTTCTATAATGTCTTACTGACTCTGTCTCCCCACCACCAGGCACAGTGCCTGAGACTTTCCGGGTTACATGGATGTGGATGGATGGATGGCCTGGGTTGAAATAAATCCTAGTTTAGAAGACAAAGAAAAAAAAAAAGCCAAATTTGAAGTCAGATTAAGAAGACTTGTGCTCAAGTTCTGCCTCTACCTCTATCTGCTAAGACAGGAGAGTTTCAAAACAGCTGAGCATGTGCAGACATGATTAGTATGGTAAGTGGTCTTCCTGGGTTGGGGATGACTTTGGCACTGCAGTCTGCAGATCAACAGAGAGGATGGAAAGAGAGTCTGAACTCAGAGGCAGAGTGCCTGTTGGTACAAGTTTTCTTTGCAGAAGAACTATGTTGTCATGCAATATTTATCTTAGATCTTTAGATGGTAAGATAACGATTTGCTATCTCTGTGTACAGCTGTGACAAGAGAGATTGATGTGGAACTTGGTCTCAGAGCTGAGTGGATGCACATTGCCTGCCCTTTGGTTTGTGTCCAAGGCTGCTGTTTTCTGAAAATAGTACCTTATTCTGCCTCTGACTCAGTTCCTTTTTCCTCATATCCTCTCTGGTACATTAATTCTAAGAAAATCAACTCATCTCATTGTTTGCTACATGCCTTTTTTTGTAAAATTTATGAAGTTTGTGAGTTATTACCAAGCTATTTAAACTTTCCTTTATTAATTCCTAGAATTTGGTGTCATGTGAATCAGTGGAAGAAGATACACTTTCTTGTTGCCTCTCTAATGATTTACAAAGTCATGCGGCATCCTTTACCCTGAATCTTTAAGTAATGTGACAGAATCAATCAAAACCATCCCCTTGGAATCCATTCCATTGCCTTTCAGGGTGGGCTTTTCTGCCTCTGGATTAGCATTCTTAACTTGTGTTGACTTGCCGATCCCCTCTTTGCTCCCTCTCCAGGCACTTCTCCCATTTAATGTCTCCCTTTTAAGTGACTATTTAATGGGGCTTTACTGCAGCCCACATAATTGGAAGTGGTGATGCTCCACATTCTGAGCACCTGCAAAGCCTCCCTCTAAGTTCTAGGCAGTTGATGTTCCCAAGTTTCCATTCAGTACCTTGGGTAAGATTCTGCACTCCCTCCAGACCCCCCACCCCTGGACTGTGAAAATTCAACATGAATGATTGCCTTTTTAGCCATTTTTGTATTTTTATTGACTGGTTAGACTCTGGGCATTTAATCCCCTGTAACACAAACTCTCTCAGTTGTACATACTTAAGCCTGTCCATGTCTCACTGACTTACTCTCTCAGTCAATATAGTGTTGGTTGGCTTAACCATGGAACCTATTCTGTTTGCTACATCTAACTTTCTTTTCTCCCTAACAAGAAAGCCAGGAAGCCGGGGGCATCAAGTATCTGGTACATTCAGTGACTTTCTTTTCTTTCCTTTTTTTTCGATTTAGTATTTTCTTATGAAAGTAATACATGCTCATCATCAGTAAGTGGTTCAGAATTGGGAGAACTCCCCAATCCCATCTCCTGCTAACAGTGTGGTAAGTATTATTCCAGTTGTTCTCTAGGCATTTACTAAAATAAAATAAGATGAAATAAAATAAGGTAACATGAAAGTCAAACAAAACACACTATATACACAAATAGAATACTACCAAAAAACACTATTGTATAATTTGACTTTTTTCATTTAATAATTATCGTGATCCTTTTCTATGTCAGTATATTTGTCCATCTTTTTTTCCCTCAAATGTTCCTTTCTAATGAATTGGCCATTACATTTCCAAAGTTATAAAATGGCCAAAAGACCACAGAAAGACAATCATTTAGTCTCCTGCTTTAAACCAACAGCTTCAGTAAACTGCTGACCTTGAATCGGGACCAACCATTCTTTTTAATACCTATGGGATACTTTTACTGGAACACTCTGGCTTCGAGGTATAGCAACCCAACTCATATTACCTTAGGCAAAAAAGAATTTATTGGTTCACAAGAGTAGGAGGCAGAGAGGTGGGGTTGGCCTTGGAGGGTATCAGTCCAGGGACCCAGTGGTATCATGGGGATGCCCTTTCTTTTCATTTCCAGATTGGTACTAATGATTTGTTTGGTTTCCTTCTTTTCTACAGCAAGGAATACTTATGTCATGCAATAGGGACAGAGGGTCACTCCTGCCGATACCTTCTTTTGCATCATCTCACATCTACCTGCCTCCTGGTTGGATAATCCTGAGCTAATTACCTCACCCGTCTAAACTGCAGCTGTCATGTAAGCAGGTATTTTGGGGTTCACTCTCCTCAGCTCTTTCTTGTGGTCCAGCCAGAATCATGCCAGGTGTGGAACCTGGAAGTCCAGAAAGCAAAGTTTCTCACTGCTCTGATACAGGTCCTCCTCCTTCAAAGGTGTGATCTTCAGACCTAAGGGAGCACCTTGGTGTCCATCTCCTCTTGCCTAGGCCTGCTCTTAGGATATTGGTTGTATTGGTCCTAACCCTTCATTTTACTGGGTGCACTTCTGAGAGTAGGCGAAGAGCTAACCAAACTATAAATCCCCGATTGGGTGTTTCTTTTAAGAATGAACAACTTAGGAACCCTTCTACCTTGTTTCTGGGGCCAAGGCTACTCTTCTCACAGGAGTATTCCAGAGTTATGTTTAATTCTTATAAAATTATGCTTCAGAAGCCATAATAATGGGTGCCCACAGATGAGGATTTCTTAAGATAAAGATCCTGGGCTCTACCCCTTGAGACTGAATCAGTAGATCTGGGGTAAGGCCCAGAATTTATACTTTAAAAAAGCAACACACCAACTTCCAGTTTCCAGTCTGCATGTGAGAAGCTTGGAAGTTGTCACTCTGCCCTAACAACAAGGAAAAAGCTCAACAGGCCAGGTGCAGTGGCTCTCATCTGTAATCCCAGCACTTTGGGAGGTTGAGGCGGTTAGCATTTCTTGAGCCCAGGAGCTCAAGACAAGCCTGGGAAACATGGTGAAACCCCATTTCTACAAAAAATTTAAAAATTACCCTGGTGTGGTGGCGCACACCTGTAGTTGCAGCAACTTGGGAGGCTGAGGTGGAAGGATCGCTTGAGCTCAGGAATTCGAAGTTATAGCGGTCCATGATAGCACCACTGCACTCGAGGCTGGGTGAGAGGGTAAGACCCTGAAACAAGCCTTTTTAGATCTCTAAGAGAGGTTAGAGTACAGGGCCCTCTACAGCAGCTGGTGCCATGTAGGAAGACGTTAACTGTAATTGATGAATTGCTGGAGGCTGAGTGTGGAAAAGTCAAAAACTCTAGGGGAACACAGTCATTAAGAGACCTCCCACATTTCTGTGTTTTACCTTTTTTAGAAGCTCTACCACACCCCACAGTGAATACTGGAGAAAAATCCCCTCATGCTTCTGCTAGGGGAAGGGGAAAAGAAACATTTAAAAATATACCAGAACACTATGTTCTTCTGAATGTGGTCTGCCCTTAGGAGGAACTACTTCACCAGAGCCTAACCTTCAGGGGTTTTACCAACACCTAACTGATCTGGAAGAAGGGAGACACTCAACTCTAAGTAAACTAGGAATCAAGGGAAATTTCCTCAACTCGATTAAGAATATCTGTAAAAACAAACAAACAAAAACAAAAAACCAAACACCTTGTCGATAATGTCATACTTAATGATGAGAAACTTGAATTCTTCCCATAAGATCAGGAGCAAGGCAGTGTTTACTCTCTCCACTGCTTCTGAACAGCAGATGAAAAATTCTAGATAATACAGCAAGGAAAAGAAATTAAAGATACAGATTGGGAGGGAAATAATAAAACTGTCTTTGTTTGCAAATGACATGATTGTCTATGAAGAACATCTGAAAAAAATTGGCAGAAAAGTCTCCTGGAACCAATAAGTAATTATGGGAATGTTGAGGAATACTAGGTTAATATACAAAAGTCAATTGTTTTCCAATATACCAGTATCTTATTCTGTTTTATGCCTCTAAAACAGAATACCCAAGACTAGGTAATTTATAAACGATAGAAATTTATTTTTTACAGTTCTGGAGGCTGGGAAGCCTAAGGTTAAGGGGCTTACATCTGGTGAGGTCCTTCCTATTGTGCATCCCCTGGTGGAAAGCAGAAGGGCAAGAGAGCATATATGTAGAAGGGAAAGGAAGGGGAGGGAAAAAGAAGGAAAGAGGCTAGAAAGGGAGAGGGGAAGGGTGGGAGAGGGGAAGGGCCCCCCACCCCCACCCCTAGAGGAAGGGAAGGGGAGGGGAGCCAAACTCATCCTTTTATTAGGAACCCACTCGTACAATAAGCATGAATCCATTCATTACAACAGAGCCCCTCCCGTCTTAATCACCTCTTTTAGGTCCCACCTCTCAACACTTTTGCGTTGGGGATTAAATTTCTATCCGTGATATATTCAATCCATGACAACGAGCAATGAACAAATGAAATTTGAAATTTAAAAAAGTCCTCCACCAAAATAAAATAGGTATAAATCTACCAAAATTCATACAAGATCCATATGAGAAACACTGCAAAACTTTAATGAAAGATATTAAAGAGGAACCAAACAGATGGAAAAATACTACATGTTCATGGATGGGAAGATTCAATAGTGTCAAGATGTCAGCTCTTGCCAACTGGACGTACAGATTCAACGTAGTCAGAATTAAAATCCCAGCAGGCCATTTTGTGAAGATTAACAAGTTGATTCTAAAGTTCATCTGCAGAGGCAAAAGACCCAGAAGTACCAACACAGCATTGAAGAATAAAGTTGGAAGACTAACACTATCTGACCTGAAGACGTAATATAAAGCTATGGTAGGCCGGGTGCAGTGGTTCAAGCCTGTAATCCCAGCACTTTGGGAGGCTGAGGCAGGTGGATCACGAGATCAAGAGATCGAGACCATCCTGGTCATCATGGTGAAACCCCGTATCTACTAAAAAAAAATACAAAAAATTAGCTGGCATAGTGGCACATGCCTATAATCCCAGCTATTCAGGAGGCTGAGGCAGGAGAATTGCCTGATCCCAGGAGGTGGAGGTTGCGGTGAGCCGAGATTGCGCCATTGCACTCCAGCCTGGGTAATGAGAGCGAAACTCTGTCTCAAAAAAAAAAAAAAAAAAGCTATGGTAAACTAGACCATGTGGTATTGGTGAAAGAACAGACAAATAGATTAGTGGAACAGAATAGAGAGCTCAGAGATAAACCCTGCAGATAGTGTATGTCAAAGGAGCAAAGGCAATACAATGGCCCAAAGAGTCTTCAACAAATGGCCCCAGAACAACTGGACATCACATACCAAAAGAAAAAAAAATGAGTAAGACACAACCCTTACTTTTGTCACAAAAACAAACTCAAAATGGATCATAGACCTACATGTAAAATGCAAAACTGTAACACTCCTAGAATGTAATAACTCAGGAGAAAATCCAGATGAGCATGGGTATGGTGATAACATTTTAGATACAACACCAAAGGCATAATCCATGAAAGAAATAATTGATAAACCAGACTTCACTAAAATTAAAAACTTCTGTTTTACAAAAGATGATGTCAAGATAATGAAAAGATAATTCAAATACTGGGAGAAAATATTTGCAGAAGACATTTCTGGTAATGGACTGTTTTCCAAAATACAAAACAAAATAAATGTCTTAAAACCCAGCAATAAGGAAACAAACAACCCTTGGGAGGCTGAGGCGGGTGGATCACGAGGTCAAGAGATCGAGACCATCCTGGTCAAAATGGTGAAACCCCGTCTCTACTAAAGATACAAAAAATTAGCTGGGCATGGTGGCGCAGGCCTGTAATCCCAGCTACTCAGGAGGCTGAGGCGGGAGAATTGCCTGAACCCAGGAGGCAGAGGTTGCAGTGAGCCGAGATCGCACCATTTTACTCCAGCCTGGGTAACAAAAGCGAAACTCCGTCTCAAAAAAAAAAAAAAAAGAAAGAAAACAAACAACCCAGTTGAAAAAATGGCCCAAAGACCTTAACAGACACTTTACCAAATAAGATATGAACATGGCAAATAAGCATATGAAGAGATGTTCCATATCATACGTCATCAGGGAAATGCAAATTAAAGCAGCAATGGAGTACCACTACACACACATATTAGAGTGGTCCAAATCTGGAACACTGACAACACCAAATGGTGGTGAGGATGTGGAGAAACAGGAACTCTCATTCATTGCTGGTGGGAATACAAATGATACAGCCACTTTGGAAGACAGTTTGGTAGTTTCTTACAACATAAACATACTCTTACTATATAATCCAGCAATCATGTTCTTTTGGTATTATGTCCACACATAAACATACATATGGATGTTTATGTCAGTTTTATTCAAAATTTCCAACACTTGGAAGCAACTGAGATGTCCTTTGGTAGGTGAATGGATAAATAAACTGTGGTACATCCAGACAAAGGAATATTATTCAGCACTAAAAAGAAATGAGCTATCACATCATGAAAAGACTTGGAGGAAACTTACATGTATATTATTAAATGAAAGAAGCCAGTCTGAAAAGGCCACATACTGTAGGATTCCAACTATCTGAGAGCCTGAAAAAGGTAGAACTATTGAGACAGTAAAATGATCCATGGTTGCCAGGTCTTAAGAGAAAAAGAGAGATGAATTGTTGGAACACAGAGGATTTTTAGAGCAGTAAAACTATTTTGTATGATGCCATAATGGTGGATACAGGTCATTAAGAATTTGTTCAAACTAAAAAAATGTACAACACAGAGTGAACCCTAATGCAAACTATACACTTTGGGTGATAATGCTGTGTCAATACAGTTTCATCACTTGTAACAAATGTGCTACTGTGGTGCAGATGTTAAAAATGGGTGATGTTGAAAATGCCAGTGTCAGGACAGGGAATA